TAGCTCAAGTGGTAGAGCAGCGGCGTATCAAGCCGAAGATCGTGGGTTCGAGTCCCGCTCGTGCCATTGACTTTTTTATCTCAACTAAAACCTTAATTAATTGTAATATATTAATTGGTTAAGCGGACCACGAAATTAGTGAATTATTGATAAAGATAAATTGGTATCAGATCTGCTTCCTTCGTCTTTACCATGTCCAATAAAATAAACTGTTGAATAAGAGGTGAATTTTCGATTACAATCTTCACACTTTTACCTGACCAACCTTTAAATAACTACAACAGAAAATTCATGATGTTAGAACATAGAAAGTAATACGTAAAAAAAATTTCTTTTTTCATGTTTCCAGCAACAAAAATAATCGATTAAACGGTTCATTTCTCGAGCCAATTAAGCAAAGTTTTGCAATAGTGTAATTAGTTTTTTACTGTCATAACTTTTTCAATCTTTATTGAGATCATCTTCAGGGCCTTTAAACTTAAAATGTTTTTCTAAACCTACATCACACCAGACCGCTTCTCACGATTGCTAAATAATCTTTAATAATAGAATCATATTTTTGGTAGTAGTACCGTTCCATGGGAAATATGCATTTATTGGGACAAATGGCCATCTTGTGAAATATTTGACGTAAATGCCGAGGGTCATTTCCACTCCGTGCGTTCCAGCATAAATCATGCTTTTTCAGCAAGGATAAGAACGGCGATTCCAGTTGTGCCCCTTCGGTGTTTTGCGCTTACAAATCGCTGCTCTATATTTTTTCCTCTACCCGGCGGACTTAATTAACCGGTTACGGGTAAAAAAACTGCGGAACGGCAATGCTAGTGTGGATTCCCACAGAAAAATTTATAACCTATATTCAACTGGAATGCTTCCCGTCCATACATAACTGTTTATATTAAATCCATTAGAGTTCGTGGTCCGATTGACCAATTAACTTTTTTCAATTAATTAATCTTTAATTAAGGTATTGGTTGAAATAAAAATGTCAGTGTCACGAGCGGGATTCGAACCCACGACCTTCGGCTAAATACGCCGCTGCTCTGCCACTTGGGCTCTTGTGACTAAGGTTGATCGTAAAAAGAATAAAAGGAAATTAACTTTAGAAAAGGAAAATGTGTGGTGATTAGTGACCGTTAATCGATAATTATTCAGAAATCGTGAGATGCGGTCTGGTGTGATGTAGGTTTCAGAAAAACATTTTCTTTATCGTGCCAACGTTTCGATCTTTATTGAGATCATCTTCAGGTCTCAAAGTGTTTGTCTTCTGTGTAATTGTGCCATTCTTGCGCGTCGTGTTGAGAGTGTCAGTGCACAAATAAACATAAAACAGCAATATCGCACTGGCACTCTCAACTCGACGCGCAAGAATGGCACAATTACACAGAAGACAAACACTTCGAGTGAGTAGAAATACTTTGATTGAATACAAAAAATATATTTTGCATTGTATAAATTCACTTTTCCACATCCTAAATGTATTTGCTAAATGTAAACAATGTTTGTAAATCCCAGGCCCTGAAGATGATCTCAATAAAGATCGAAACGTTGGCACGATAAAGAAAACGTTTTTCTGAATCCTACATCACACCAGACCGCATCTCATGATTTCTGAATAATTTTAGAAAACAGGGAGATATTCAAAAGATTGGAAGTTAGTGTCCGAGTGGATCGAGTTCACGATAGCTCAAGTGGTCGAGCAGCGGCGTATTTAGCCGAAGGTCGTGGGTTCGAATCCCGCTCGTGACACTAGCTTTTTCATTTCAACCAATACCTTACATAAAGACTGTTTATATTGCTAACCTTAAAAGTACTTTGTAACAAAACTGTTATAAATAGATTCCGCCTATGTACTTTATTTTAATTCATTGTATATCATTCATTACATTTCAATTAAAAATGCAAAGCAAATTTCTAAAAGATAAATAGTATTGTAATAAAACGTTTTTTTTTTAAATCACCTCAGATATTTTAAACTACTTTGCTTGTTTTAGAAATACGATCATAAATTTGTTTACCTGTGCCTTCTTTGATGAGCTGTTGAAAGCAAAACGGTTAATTTAAAACTTTTGCCACAGTAAAATCCGACATTGCTGATAGATACGGTAATAAATATTAACTCTTTCATCACAATTTAGTTGTCCTTGTTAATAACGATACAGTTTTTAAAAATGATTTACTAATTAAACTTGGTTTTTTTAAACCATTTTTTTATTGCTTAGATCATACAACGAAAAAATAATCATATTATTAAATTAATCTATATCTGCCACCTAAATCTGTTATTCCAAAATAAGTTTTACAAGAAATACGACAGGTTCGTAAAAAAAATCACCTGGTCATGATTTTATAACAGCTGAAATTCTACAAAAACTTCCAAAAAAGCTGTCGCATTTCTGATTTTTTATGTAATAAGATCCATAAACCCCTCCCCTCCATTGGAGAATCTGTAGTAAATTAAACAAATCATAATTGCATCTAGACTCAATTGGATTTGATGAGAGAATACAATAACTAAAGCATACCTTTTCTGCCAGACAGTACAATCAGCCATCAGAACAAATTGGTGTTTATCAACTTGGCATTATTTCTGTATCCGATTATTAAGTGGACTGTGATCACATCGATATGATAAAATTAAATTAAAACTAAAATGAGGCACATCTTCCTTTCCGTTTTCTTCCTTCCCCCACTAGGGTTGCTGAGAGAATAGGAGAGGATAGATAGATTAAGGGAGGAAAAAGGCTAGAAAACCACTACCTCGTGGTGGTGAAAACCAATTTTACAATGGACTTGCTTGGCACTTCTTACACATCGATGATCGATGACAATTACGATTAAAACAGCATTAGACCTCTGTATATGTTGGAAATCAAGCAACGACTATCTAAAATATATAACAGAATATCACAGCCGGACAATGGGCCCACGAATCCAGACCGACGTAGCAGCTAAACTGCTTCTGAGTAGAAAACAATAAACTGCATGAGTTAAAAATCCAAAATAGAAACTGTTCACAGGACATAGGGTTTGTTTTTGGAAGAAAACAGCACAGATAATGCGCCCAGGAAAGTTGACAGAATTTGAACACTTCGGGATCTACTAGGAAATATCTTAGATGAGAACGTAGGATATGACTTTTTTTATTTTTTCATTACATTTATTTGGTATTTACAACTACAAGTGATGTATTAAGTAAATATGTTCGTATATGTTGAATTATCATTTGAGGCTCTTGTAGGAGAAGTTGCCCTGTGGTAACACTCCTTCACACTGATATCTTGTTCAGTCTTCACACAATGAGAAGGTCTCGGGGCCACTTTCGCTTCAATCGTCTTGGAGGATTTTCAGGTAGGGTTGGAAGTGATAAATTTCGTACGAATAGATTATTGTGTGTGTTCAGTGATTGATTAAATTTTTTCTATCGGGTTTTTATAACTATAAAACTATAAACTTATATAAAACATTTTTTTTGTAAAAATGTGTTCATAAAGTTCATGACCCTCCAGACCAGATGAAAAATCTTACTATCTTACAAAGATAATAAAATGTAGTAGCTCTTATAAATTATTGTGACACTATAATTGAACAATAAATAAAATTACAAATAATTAAGGTTTTTAGTTGAGATAAAAAGTCAATGGCACGAGCGGGATTCGAACTCACGATCTTCGGCTAGATACGCCGCTGCTCTACCACCACCATGAAGGTATATTTACACAGCGTTTCAAGTTACCTTCCCCATCAGGGAGAGTGAATGACGTCGAACACTTTCGCCGGCTTGAATCTGGATCTGCATAGTTATCATCAAGACATCTCTGGACGGGTAACATTTGCATTAAACCCATCAGGTATGTTCCTTGTTCGTTGAGTTTCAGCTTATAAAAAGAATCGAAAAGCTTCATATGAGCGATTTCCTTACAATCCAATTTGCATTTGCATGTACCCTACACAAATACACTTGGTTACACTGGCAAAAAAATCCTCGTAAGATCTGATAGCCAAGCAGCCATTAAAGCATTAGCATGTAAAACATAACATCAAAATTAGTCAGTGAATGCATCCAAAATCTCCAAAACCTGGGAAAATACAACAACCTGTGCCAGGATACAGGGGAATTTTGGGTAACGAGAAAGCTGACAGTCTGGCCAAAGGAGCAAGACCATACATAGGCCCTGAACCTATACTTGGGATAATAAAGACAAATATAGAATTCTCCATCGCAGAAGGAATCCAAACAAAACAAAAGGAGAAGTCGATATACTCTAGCGGTGCTAGACATAGTAAACTTATGATGAAACAACCCTCACCAAGACTGGCAAAAGCACAAGACTCCAATTGCTGCAATTGGAGAGGGCCAAACTCAGATGAGAGGTAGGACTACTATCCGGTCACTGGCATCTGAGGAAACATCTACACAACATAGGTATATACAACGATGATCTCATTTGCCGGTTATGTAATGAGGAGAAGGAACATGTAACCCATATCATCTTCGAATGCGAAGCAACAGCTCAATGGAGATTTAACCTAGCATATAGAATAAATAAAGCAACAGCCAATGATCTGATTCTTCTAAGAAGAAGGGTTGAGTGTACTGTACTGAGCTAAGTAACTAGGAAGGTACAATAAGCCAGAAGGAGTGCCTAGGGAGCACAAACCCCGTTTCGTAGTATCCTTTTTATCATACCATACCCTGCACAAAAGCATAATCAGGTAGGTAAGTATTTTTATAGATAGGTATTTTAATTTAGTTTTCCCCTAATATATGTAGGTACACTTATGATATTGATTTCATCTGTGGTCAAATAGAAATATAAAGTAAAAACATTAAAAAAAGATAGATTGCTAACCTCATTAGTCGGAGGTGTGTAAGTCATAACTGTTATGACTTTTTGTTTCCTACGAATCATTTAGCGGTGATGGCATAAAATTCGCGAGTACCCGTGAGACTGACTCAGAGTCGTGTTAAGCCAACATACAGCTTAAAGAATTGATGGTCTTGGTCGAAAAAGGTATAGAATTAGGGTCAGACTCGACCGGGGTACGTCGTCGGGACTGTGTAATGATGATAATTCGTTTGTAGAAGGCTAGGGCCTCTGAAAGACAGCGTTGCCACGGAAGGTTCCGCTCTAATGGATATGCTCGACCGTACGGTACTTCCTCAGGATCGCCCCTCCCTCGGCTAACCGGCTTCATCCTCCGTCCGAAGGGGCTTTGTTTACCATTGGCTTCGGGCCGATCAACAGCCCGCTGTGACTCTTCGCCCGTCCTGTTGCGCACATTGGGAATACGGCTGAAAAGGTGAGTTTTGATTAGATTTGACGATTTGTTTCCTAAAACTGGCACCGTTACCGGTCCCATAACCGCTCCTGGAGTGCATGCCGTCTTAAAACTTCGTTTATCACTCGATTTTGTGACATAAATCTACTCTGATTCTTACTTTGTCAACTATTTTTTCAAAATTTATTTGATCAGTCGCAGATTCATTTTTTAATAGGCAATATATTTTACAGGTATGTTGTCATTTGTTCAATGTAGCGTTTTTTCCGATCATTTCGCGCTTTCTTGGTCTGTCAGACGCGTTTTGGCCCCTCTCAATAGAGGGTCTGACCAAAACAGGGTAGACGTCTTGGAACCTTCTATCTTCTCTCTGAAGAACCCATGACGAAATCTCAGAGATTCCAGTTAATAGGAAATATTTTAAAATCATACTTTAAAATATTCTTGAATTTTCCAGTTTTTCATTATCATTGGCGTTTGTGGTGTTTAGTGACCGTTAGCCAATGATTATTTGGAGATCGTAAGATCCGGTCTGGTGTGACGAAGATTTTAGAAAAACATTTTCTTTATCATGCCAACGTTTCGATCTTTATTGAGATCATCTTCAGGGCTCAAAGTGTCTTATCTGTCGTGTTGATTTTGGGCACTCTGGCACTCTCAACACGACACAAGAATGTGACACATCTACACGGAAAACAAAAACTTTGAGCCCTGAAGATGATCTCAATAAAGATCGAAACGTTGGCACGATAAAAAAAATGTTTTCCTAAAACCTACGTCACATCAGACTGCATCTCACAATCTCCAAATAATCATTATCATTGACCTTATTTTTAATGTCCATACTATATTTTTTAAAAAGTAACAGCGTATTTTCTGTTATCTCACATTTTTCGTTTTGGTCATTCCACTTTTATTTTATACGTGGTCCGACCATCCTCAATCTTCAAGACTTGATATATCTCGTTGGGACCCATCTTATTACAAATATAATACTTTTTTAACCTCGGGGTGTTTTTGAAAAAAGCACATTTGTGAGAAAGTCCGTATGTACGTTCACCTTACATCAATGAGCATCGTGACATTTTATCATATTTTATTGTGCTTAAGTTAACGTTAAATTTTCTAAAAATCAAACTGGAAAGATAATTATTACTCACGTAGTAGAGAGGTAATTAAAAATGTACAATTAGGAAAAACCTCAAGATCTTCAGGAGACTTTAGATCTGTTAACAAATAACAGTGCTTTACTTTATAACAGTCCTGTGGATTAAGGTTGTGGTCAGTAAAACAAATAATGCTTTTGTGCCAACGCCGAGTTTTCGACGATATATTTAATTCAGTCTTATAAGAGAAAAATCTTAATTAATTTTACGCTCATATAGACATATCACAGATTCTTGACATTTACAGGTATGTAGCCAAAATTTAAAAACGTTTACCCTTGTTAAAACCTCCATATTCACTGTACACCCTGAAGAAGACGAAATATCGTCGAAAGCTCGGCGTTGATACGAAAGCATTATTTATTTTTCTGACCACCACCCTCATCTACAAAAAAAAAGTACCCTGATCGTGGGTTCGAATCCCGCTCGTGCCATTGACTTTTTTTATCTCAACTAAAAACCTTAATTAATTGTTAAATAATACTTAAAATGTTGTAATATAGAAAATGTTTTGTCTTGTTTTTACACAAGTTCATTGGTTAATGTTAAGTTTAATACATACGTTGTAAATAACACTACAAATTCGTAAACGTACGCCCACTTAATCAATTTAAATGAAAGGTATATCAAACAGGCTTAAAATCTATAAAATTACAACGTTTTTATTTGTTCAGTAATTTTTTAACAAATCTCATAAAATCACCGAGCATCATTCATAAGACCAAGCTTGGAAGAGCTTTTCCTATTAGTCGGAAGAGAACAATGGACGATCATAATAAAATGACTTCTGAGGCAAATGATCTTATGATGGCAATGATCTGGAAACAGCGAATCATATGATTTGATATAAACGGGGAGTTTTAGACTTTTCTCATTATAAACATTGTGATCCGCAAAGTTTTATTAATAGAAATGATAAGTGTGTGTGGAGGATATAATAGGAGTGAGTGTGGTGTTCAATAATTTTTAAAAGGATAGTTCCTCCTCAGTAACTCAGCTTACTGTGAGTAGGAACTATTCTTTTAAAAAGTATTGAACACCACACTCACTCCATCATTTAACATTTCTATTAATTTGCTAGTCAAAGCAGTAATGGATTATAACACAATCAATAACATCACATGGGGACCGCGGTAGCCGAGTGGTTAGCATGAGAGACTCTCACGCCGCGGTCGCGGGTTCGATTCCCACCGTCGCCTCTGGCCCTTTTTTCCCGATAACCCCCAATTTGAACACACAAGAATTCGTACCATGGCTAGTATGCAAGTATTTTTAAATCTTTATTATACATTGAGACTTTCATGCTCAAAGATTAACAAATCAATCTGATTCAATTCCCAATGTTTGAAATTAAACCTAACTAAATTAAACCTTAAAAAAAAAAAAAAAAAAAAAAAAAAAAAAAAAAAAAAATACCAGATCCAATTACTAAATATGTGTTAATTAACAAGTATACCTAAATCTTTATTATAAATTGAGACTTTCATGCTCAAAGATTAACAAATCAATCTGGTTCAATTCCCAATGTTTGAAATTAAACCTAACCCCAAAATTCGTTCTTGCTAAATTAAATGTTAAGAACTGCTCAACTCTCTTACAAAGTAAATGCCAAAGAACCATTTTAAATAATGAATTACATAAATTGTACAGTCTAAGAGATACAAAACGTTTTTATCAATATATTGTACACATTAGGCTTGCGTCATTATTGTCTCAAGTAGAATGGGATGAGTTCGATTATGATACGCGATCAAAAATTAAATTTATCACTGATAAAAAACAAGGTATATTAGATAAAAAATCAAAAGTTTAAAGTACGGTTCACTTAAAAATAAAAATACCCATAAAGATCCAAAAACTCCAGTTAAATTTTACCCAAGAGTTATAAACTTAACAAACATGGCACTAAATAAAGAAGAAACCAATTTATTAAAAAACTTACTGTGAGTAGGAACTATCCTTTTAAAAAGTATTGAAGTTTTATTAACGTCAACGATGCTTTTTTTGATTTTTTATATATAATGACAAGCAGTAAAACATTAGTTGTTAAATGTAATTAAATCGTTTTTTATATAATGGATCCTTCTAGGCATGTACTGATACTATGTAGAGGGTTTTATCCTCATGCTCAATAAATCTCTTTAATTTTTCGGGCAAAAACTGTTCTCTCCATAAAATGTGAAAACTTTGTTGGTTGAATTAAAGAAGAAAGGCAATAAAAATGAACTCACGCTAATCGTTTTTCGTATTTCAAAGTTTGACGTTTCGATTAAAACTTTGATTTCGTACAAGGATTATCTTTCGTACAATTGTTAACGCCAGAAGAAAATAATCCCAAACAAAACATAATTCTTGAAAGATGGAAGTTTTAATATTTTTTTAAAACCACAAATCACTGTCGAAGACTTAGTTGAAAACTCTTTACCATTTTGGTTCGTATCAGAAAGATTGAGAAAACAGTTTATTACGGAGCTCGTTAATAAACGTCTAAAAGTAAAAATAATTACCTTGTTTAAAATCAAACTTTTGACATTGATTTTCTTTTTTCTTTTTTTTTAATATACGTTCTCTTGTTTGTCGGGTGCCGGCGGAAAATCTAATCATACCATGGTGCCCGTATGCCGATGGGGCGGAAGATAAACCTCGCTCTAACGGGAATAGTTTCAAATTGCCAAAGGCGGTCATAAAATGCCGGCCATATTTAGTATGAAAGGAGACTAAAAAGTGGAAATATGTTCCGAAGCACTGCAGCCTGTTTATTGTACATATACAGATCATTGACTGTCGTTACAATTCCTTTCTCGGAGTTTTCTTTGTATCCCACGTTACGTCTCCATTGATCGGTTGGTTCAGATTCGAAGATGATACGGGTGGCTGTTTCCTCCTCCTCATTGCATAACCTACAAACGGGTTCATTGAATATGCCCATGTTGTTCTGTTTCCTCAGATGCCAGTCACCTGTCGTACTATCATTTCTCTGAGTTTGGCCCTCTCCAATTTCAGCAATAATTTTGCCAGTCATGTGATGGTTGTTTTAACATAAGTTTACAAGAGTTTATCCACTTCTCCTTTTGTCTTTTTTGGATCCATTATGTGATGGAGTATTCTGTGTTCGTTTTTGTTATCCCAATAATAGGTTCAGTGTGTCTGTTTGTTACCCAAAATTCCTTTAGGCCCTGTTACCTAAGATAGCATCTGGTTTTGAGTTTCGCCAGGTTTCTTCTAGTAACTTAAAAGAGATGTACGTCTGTATTGATTGCATATCGGCAATAAAAACTAATTTGACGGCAAACAAGTATTTTTTTGCCCCTGCAATTTGTTTTAGTTAAAAAATGAAGTAGTTCTTGTCATACAGGTGGGCTTAATGTCCCTCTAATACAACAATTACTATTACTATTCACACTATTCAACTACGTCAAAATTAAAATACTTGCTCCAAATTATTCACTATTAATTCCATGGGACCGCGAGATTCGAACCCGGCACCACTAGGATGTCAATTACGATTCTAGATTTGGCCGCAAAGTTTTCCATCGGTAAGGTCCGTTTCACGTAGCGACGCTGGGAGTATTGAGTTAACAATGAAAATTCATTAAATTCAATAGAGTTCGTGGTCCGATTGACCGAATAATGTTTTTCAATTAATTAATCTTTATATAAGGCATTGGTTGAGAAAAAAGTCAGTGTCACGAGCGGGATTCGAACCCACGACCTTCGGCTAAATACGCCGCTGCTCTACCACTTCAGCTATCGAGACTTCCTCTCGGACAGTAACTTCCCGTCCCAACCCCACGTTTCGAATTTGAGATGAGACGTTAGTGTCCGAGTGGTCGAAGTCACGTGGTAGAGCAGCGG